TCAAAGTTTGGAGACGGGGGGAGCCAGGAAGCACTTTATAAAGAGAGTCAAACCATTACAAACTCATACAAGTGGATAAAACAGACGTTTTACATGGTGAAATGTGACTGATGAAAACTTATGAGCTTAATCCCACACCAATTTGACTATGAATAACTTCGGGTGACAAGTCTGACTTCTTTTTTTTTCACATTGGACTCCACCAAGAAGAAATCCCGTGCATACTGCTGCTTAAATGTTCACTACGTCAGAACTTATTCAGCAAATGTGTTTCCATCTCTGCTTTTGTGCATTAACTCTTACAGGATGGRGGAAATTGGTCTTGGCGGAGGTTTGCACTCTCCGAGTGCTTCTAGTTGTTTCATATTTTACTAAYAAACTTTACTAATCACTTAAACAGATCTCCACCTCTCTGTGGAAACTCGTGCAATCACTGTTGTTCTTGTCTCTGACAGGATTTTCCCAAGGGATTACCTGCTACAGCACATTCATCTGTACTCCCTGGCTGATCTGCAGCAGGTACGCACACAGCTCTGTACACACACTATGATACTAAAGCCACTTCAGGACTTACAGTGAAGTTTAGTAGTTACTGATCTGGCAGCAYTGTGAAGCAGTGGTTGGAGCTGTCGCCTCACAGCACGTAAGTCACAGGTTCACCTGAAGTTTACATGTTTTCTCCATGCACACTTGGGTTTGCTTCAGGTTCCCTGAAAAAAATAGGCTCTCTGGTTTCCTCCTGCAGACGAAAAACATGCAAGTTAGTTTATAATAACTAAATTCATTATATCTGGTTTAGCTGGAAATTAAGGTTCAGTGTTTGAGAACAAATGTATTTAGGCTTAGTTAAGCCCAAGTGCACTGAATAACATTAACCCCTTCCTGCTTGACATAGCGGTTAACAAGTTGAGAAATGTGGTCAAACAAGAGGATTATTATTATTATTATTATTATTATTATTAAATGGATTATTATGTTTGCAGACGATATTGTGATGTGTAGTGAGAATAGGCAGCAGGAAGAAGTAGAGTCATTTAGCATTTTTTTAAATGATCCTGAGGGTTATGAAACAAAAAAGTCAAGTGGTAGACCCAAAAAAAATTCAACAGCTCTGAGCCGCACGATCCAATTGGCTGGCAAGGGAAGTTTACAAAAATGGACATCAGTTCCAGACAGTGGATGGCCTTCGTGAAGCCATCTTCAACACTTGGAGCAACGTTCCCTCTAGCCTTCTGGAAACACTGGCATCAAAGCATGCCTAAACCATTGTTTGAAGTCATCAACAGGAATGGTGGAGCTATTCATTACTGAGTCCTTTTTTTGACACTTTGATTTCTGTTTTGGAGGGTTTTCAGGTT